AAAAGCTGGACAGTGAATAAGGAAGATCATAGAAGAATTGATGCCTTTGAGTTATGGTATTGGAGGAGAATATTGAAAGTGCCATGGGCTGCCAAAAGAAACAAGAGATCTGTGTTGGAAGAAGTTCAGCCAGAGTGCTCCTTGGAGGCCAAGATGGTTAAACTTTGTCTCTCATACTTTGGACATATTGTCCTGAGAGACCAGCCGCTGGAGAAGGATATCATGTTTGTTAAGGTGGAGGGACAGAGAAAGATAGAAAGACCCCTAACAAGATGGATTGGCCAGGTGGCAGCATCGATGGACTCAAGCGTGGCAGCAGTAGTGAGGTTGGCCCAGGATTGGGCAGTGTTTCATTCTGCTGTGCATAAGGTCGCTGTAATGGCACCTAACAACAAGTTGAGTCTGTTTATCAAGCCATCAAGGCTAGGTCAGATGGGTACTATTTGCAGGTTTGAGTGTTTTGGGGTGTCTCCTTTCACTTCATATCAGCTGGATGCTTCACTCTCAGCTCTAGCCCTCCATGGCTATGTCCTTGTCCATGGGCTCAGGTGTTCCCAGATCTCCACACTTTTGACCAAGCAGCCCTTCCTCTTCTCTCTTTCATCTCCAGGTCAACAATAGTCTATGGAACGTGGTTGAACTCAGCCCATTTCTTCATTGCTGCCTTTCCCCCTTTTCCACTCACCAGTAGACCAACGTAATCGCCTGCAAGCTTCCATGCCTGCTTATGTGTTCCCTTTGAGTTTCAGCCTTAGAGGGTGTGTCCTGAAGGGATTTGATTGTTTGCCTTCATGGCATCCCGGTGAACAACTTTCTTATTCTTGTAGTAGCCAATCATGCTGCCATTTTTGTTTGGGTTTTTCCTGCTGATGTGAAGATGTAGCTTCTGTTGCTCTAGCTGTTCCAGGCTGGTCTGCTTGTCCTTTCTAGTGGGAATATCCCTCCTCAGAAGGTTGTGGATGGGGCTCAGGATTCCACCTAAGGTCCTATATATGCTGCAAAGGTTCTACAACTTGTCCTATTTCACTGGACAAGTTGTAGAATCCCTTTTAGGTATTCCAGTTTGTTATAGGATGAAGATGGGCTTACAACCTTTCTGTAATCATGCTTCCCAACATTCCTTTTATCCCACTCAAGTGTCTATTTTACAATAGTAGGCAAGGGAAACCAATATTCATAAAAACAGCCAAGCATCTTAGTATTATTTCCCCTCTTCAGACTATGCCTCAATCTCTATATCACAGAGCCCTGTTGTTCCAAGGTTTAGCATGCATCACTATTTACCTCTGTCCCATTTAGTCCATGCAAACTTGTCTCAGTATTTCTGTTTACCTTGTTCTTCTACCTCCTTCCCCCTGAGTTCTTTTTAACCAAGAACCTGGGAGCAAATCATTTTCCTCTTAAGTTGACCATTACCTTTAATGTAAGAAGTGCTTGGGAAGGCAAACATACAAGAAAGTTTACTTCAGTGCCAGGCTTCATGTTTGAAACTTGGAGAGATGGAACTGAAAATATTTTTCAGTAGGTTCTATAGGCATACAAAGCTAATGGTACTGACTGTTGAAACCAACCTGCAGCCTCTCAGGGTGACTGGTGGTGGTAAAGTAGAACTTTATATTGTCTCCAAAGGAAGCTCATCACTCTGAGTGGTTTTCTAAAATTAATGGTACATATCTCGGATGGTCTGTTCAAGTTAAGAGGCATTAAACTAAAATAGGTATGAAAATAAAATTAATATTTAACCATGTTTGTAAATCTAAAGGCAACTCTTAGGGTGCTTTTAGTGGCAAGTATGAAAAAGTAACTCAGTATGATTTAAACAAAAATATCACTTAAGGTGCTGTGGGTTAGGTGTTGGCCTGCTAATGTCAAGGTCAGCAATTCAAACTCACCAGTGACTCCTCAGGAAAAAGATGAGGCTCTCTGCTTCCATCAAGATTTACAATCATGGAATCCTAACATAGGAATTCTATGCATTGGAACTGACTTGATGACAGTGGGTTTGGTGAGTTTGGTCCTTATCAGTGTGAGTTTAAATTAATGTAGCTATGGGTTAGCAGGGAAAGAGAAAGCCTCAATTTAAAAAGTTAAAATTTTGCCTTGAAAATCTTTCAGTTAATCGTTGAAATCTCGTTTACTTTTCCATTTTATTCATGAAACCCCTGATTTTCTACCCACTCCCTCTCAATCATTATAAAGAGTCTCCTTACCCTTCTTGTTGTTAAGTGCCGTCGAGTCGGTTCGGACCCATAG